CGGCCATCTGGCCCTCCGGTGTTGGCGTAGGATGACGCGGTGGTCTGTCCGTTCCTTAAGTGGCGACTCGCTTGGCCAAATTGAGTCTCAGTACCGAATATGGATTGGGAAAGTCGTTGCACTTGTTTATGGATTGGGGGGCCATGAACCATGCCTCAAGTAATTCTTGGCTCACCCGATTGTCACCTCTTGCAAGAACTTGGGCCTCATCAAATTTGTATGGTTGGCCGGCTCTCGTCTAATTAGCCGCGTCTTGAGATGTTTGCCATTTGCGCGGGTAGCTATTTTCTCAGAACTTCCGTCGAAGTTATTTTACCTCGGCAACATTGTGTTCTGGTTCGCTGCAGTGCGTCTCAACACACTGATAGAGCGTCCTTACGCAACTGCGTTTGTGGCTGATTGGTGAGTTGCTGTTGTAAATCAGTACTTGCATACTATTTGTCGCTTTCCTGAATACTTTAGTCTTTAGGCCACCACAATCATTGCAACAGACGAGGACATCAAGGAAGGCCAGCTGGTTGTTCTCTTCCTCCTCCATCGTGAATTGGATTTCCGACATCGATAAGAGCATTTTTTGCTAGCGTACATTTGATGCGCTTAGAACTGCAGCGTGGAGGATTGCCAACTGATAGGATAACTCATGTTCTTCTCATAACTGATAGTCAAGCTGAACTGGATCATTTGGATCTGTTGGAATTTTTGGAATCTTCACGTATGCAAGACCCGGACCGCGTATAATAAAGCCTGGCATATTAAGCGGACAACGATATGTTTGATTCGCATAAGCGGGCTCTCTGGTTACACTGGCGACAGTGTCCGATACTGTCTTTTCATCGGAGCCGGGCAGATGGACAAGAGGCAGACGAACTAGAGGCATTGCAAGCCCCTCTCACTATATATTGCCACAGGTGCAACCCATATGTGTCACTCTGTTCTGTGATGCACCGAGATGAAAGAGAAGGGCAGACTGTTGGAATAACGGCAACCCCAAAATGTGTCTGCCGACATACTGTTTAGGTATTAGAAAGCAAAATACCATTTCAAAGTTGTGTAAACGTATACGCTCCGGCTCGCGGAATACGAAAAAAGTTATTACTAGAAATTTGTGTTATAAAGGTTATTAAAAATGTATATAAAAAATGAGAGGGGCGCTGGTCCAGACACCCGTGCAATGTGAAGTTTTATTTAAAATGTGTGTAACTCTCTTAGTTACTTCCATTCGTACTGCCCATATCGGCCCAGCATGCAGCCTATTAAAACAACGCGTAACTCAATCCCCCTCCTGAATAGTTTGTTCACAGGAGAGCTAGAATCACGGAGGCACTCCTATGACAATAATTGACGGAACCGTTTATTCAGACAACAACGTACGCCTGCATACCATGTGCTGTGTAGTTAATTGCGGAGTAAACAGAGTCGGAATTAGCGATGACTCATATAATAGTCCCAATAGACCGCGTTCAGCCTCAGCAATTAAATAAGTACAATTTAAAGCGCAATAAAATGCAATTCTATTTTGTTGGAAGTCAGTTCCCTCCACTGCCTTAACTGATTTTGTGCCTGCCGTAAGGTTACTCACTGTCATACAGTTTATTTTAAAGCGAAACAGAGCAATAGCATGAATACTACAAATAATTAAACAGTTACTCACGGAACCCTCTTTGAACTTCGCAAATGTGCTCGCGATTCGAAAGGAACTATTAAGTTACGAGTTTTGAGGTGTATATATAAATTTTTTTAGCAGAAATGCCTCCATTCACTGAAACCAAGGGATGAGGTAATAAAATATTCACAATCTAGAAGTCTAAATGAAATCGACATTTATTATAGAGACAGGTCTAATTTCAAGCTCTGAATTCTCGTTTCTTCACACGTTAGATAGCGTGCTCGGAATGGGCGCACAGAGTGCTCATATGCCGAGGTACGGCAAGACATATATTGGAAACTTCGGCGTATACTACGGAAAGATTCCGCAGTCATTAGTTCAAAGTGAGGTGAATGAGCAACCTCATGAAGAGTGCGATCCGAAAATTGTCTGCCCATTTTAAAGAGTCACTGCATTATACTATCAGCTTAAGAATCGGAAGAAACACCAGCAGCTGAAGGGGGCATTTAAGGGTACGTTCGCAAAGTAAAAAGTATTTTTAAGCAAGGCTGAAAAAAAGCGGAGCACAGTATAGAATGAGAGGGTGAATGCAGGCACCTTTAAATCGCCTGATTAGGGCTTGACTTGTATTGTATGAACGTAATCAATGGACATAATATAAAAGTTTACGAATCCTAATGATGGGAATTTCAATATGAAGAGTAAATGAAAGATTGGATATCAGAGTAACACCGAGGTACCGAGGATATCTCATCGGACAGGACGCCTAAGGATTAAGGACTGTGAGAGGGTGGCAATTTTTTGTGCTATTTAGGAATCAGTACTCCGCGGTGTATAGCGGTTTTTCTTCCATGGGAGATCTGGAGGTTTCTATGATCAGTTTTGGGCTAATCAAACAATGGCTCATACTATGGAAGCTTGGGGATACAAATTTCTAATTTATATCCCATTTACGACAACCTAACTGCGTTTTGGTTTTATTTTCGTTATCCCGCCTGCTGCTTACATGAACAAATGAGCACCAGAACTTTTTTAATCGCTTTGGATGTAGGACTGGCGTGATACTCCGATAGACAGTGGCAGGTTTGAAGGCCAGAAGTGAGACTTGGCTTATTGTTTTACCAAATTGAAAGTAATTCTGGCGGTCTACGAGAACCCTGAAAAAATCTTCTCGGTAAACACGCAGCGGGATTTCAAGTATTCGAAACATGCCAATACTTCCTACAGACTATTTATAAGATCTTAAGCTGATAACCACTCCTCCTTCTCTTTAATTTTACTTCATTGTCCTATTGTTTCAAACGCAAATGTTTATGTTCATCCTGAGAGTAATTTGCTTAATCCATTTTTTTTTCTATAATTTATTTCCACTGCTTTAGTAACCCCACGCCTTCCGAATCCTCCTTTGTGCGCCGATATCCTCAAGAGTACCCTCTACACACCTGTCCCCACAAAAGTCCATGTGGTGAGTTGTTTTTGCTCCCCATCTTCCCTTCTTCTCCGACGGTATAGTAGAATATTTCAAAGAAGAAAAAAGTATAATGTTTCTGTTGATAACGTTTTTTTCATTCCGTCTTCATCCCACTGGCCCAAAATTGGTCAAAATGTCAGTTAGGGGAGGCGGAATAGGAATGTAGACGATGATCACAACCACGCCCGGAAAAGTTGGATAATGCGACAACAAAAGCATGAATCCTTTAATCAATGAGACAGAATGGGCGTTTTTCCGAATTTTTGGACTTTCGCGAAAAATCACCAGCTCTGAGAGGCAAACTGAGCTGTGGGCGGAATTCACAGATGTCAGCAACCAATCAGCGGCCGATTTTGCCTGTCGTACGCGCGAGCCGGTCGACGGACGAGACCGTATAGTGTGTTGTTGGGGGTTTTGCCAGCGCTCCGGATGCCAAATTCTTTCGGCTGGTTTTGCCGACTATTGTTGGCTAGCTTGAGATGATACTGCATTTTAGAAAAACAAAAGCTATCCAATAAGACCTATCAGAGTTGCGTTGGCATTTCGCCTCTGTAATATTGCGTGATATTGTTTTGACGGAACTCTAGTACTAGCAAATTTGAAGAAAAATCCTCTTCTGTGTGCATACTACCGCTTTTCACAATGAAACCGAAAAAGTGTGAGCCAGACACGCTTCATTTTAAAAATATAATTATAAAATTTTCAGTTAGCCCATCCTCCTTTCACCGTGAATAAAATCAGGATCACAAACAATTAATAATGGCTGAAGGATTGTCCTCAGATGAGTCAAACCTTTGCCACTTACACTTAAATGAAAACAAAATTGGACTTCCTTCAAAACGGTGTTAGCGTTGTGCGATAATGATGTCCTTCTTGTAGTTCAGATAAACAAAAGACAGCTAAAAATCAGTTCGCAATAGACGTAGTAAACCAAACGATGAAAGCATAAGGAATTAACATGGAAAAAATTAAGTGGCTCAGTTTCCTAAACCCGCTTGCTACTGTCTACTTTGACGTGTTTGCCTCAGATTTCATGCGAATGGTCGCAAAACTGTTTTCCTGGAATTCCACTATATGCACCATTACTCGGCTTTGGTCAGTTTCTTCAACTTGCGTCATAAGCATGAATGTTATTTTTAATCCATCTTTTCCCGCTTGATAATTAAATTACGTAGTAGACTGCCTGACTGTTAATTGTGTATGCGAAACTCTATTCCATTTATAGCGCCATTATGAGACTAAGAATTGGCTTCTTTATTGCAACCTACGAAAACGCAAAACCAACCTATCTCCAAAAAAACATCATTTAGCTGCAAAAGTTGCATGTGTAGGCCCACGCATATACCCCTAGTTCCAGCATTTTATCATGCAAAAACGGTGGTTATAGAGTTTGGCGGTGGAAAATAGGATAGACAGAGAAGGAAATTTTTAGAAGGAAGTGTAAATTGAAAAAAATTTAGTCGAAGTTGCTTCCTGCGGCCGCTGGGAGTAAGTTATTCCGCATGTAAATTGAAGGTGTGCGCGGTGCTTCGCGCCGCAGACTATACTAATCTAACTCCGGAACTGTAAGTTGAAGTAGACTACATTCTTACCACCATTTCAATTTTTCGGGAAATTCAAGAAACCTGCAATTTTTAATCAGGTTTTTCCGCAATAAGTTAAGCGATAATACAGATTAGGAAAATTGACAGATATAAGTCAACAACATTTCTAAATAGAGTAAAATAAAAATGCATTGAGCATTTATTAAAGTATATTCCACTACGTGTCCTAATTCCCCACCCATAAAACCCTGTAACCACCGTTTTCGTAGGAAAACATGCAGGGAGTAAGGATTAATGTGTGGGCCTACATAAGGTACTGTTGTCCATTTAGCACTTTGTCTGTCGAAATTCCAGTAGCGCACTTGCTCACATTGTGTACAGTAATCACTTCTTTCTTACCTCTAGCATTCCAATCCTACTGTTCTGTATACCGAGACATTTGAGTGGAAAATCCGGTGGATGCAGTGAGTGCAATGGTCTGTAAGATTTGTGTGACTTGTTGATAAACGTTCACCGCTCGCCAACGGAACTCACTCATCTCGCGTTGCATTGCCATTCATTCTGGAGCTTCACAGACAACCACACAGCGGTTATTATTATAGGCAGATAACACCACCATCGAAGGAAAAGGACACTCAGAAGAAGAAGTGATCACTGGAACAAGAATGTTATTGTCCTGACGTTTCGGATTCCATCGGGAATCCTTAGTCGTAGGTAATCGGTAACAAATCTGAGACATGCGCAGATAAGGGGTGATACATGCACAGATTGCACGGTATTTATAGTTCGTAGCGGTCATCCGCATGCGTACTATAATTGTCAGTTCCCGTAGTCATAGTTCGTAGCGGTCACCCGCATGCGTACTATAATTGTCAGTTCCTGTAGCCACCGCTTATGGTCTTAATTGGTGCGGTGATTGCTCATTAATTGCCACAGCCTTCTAG